TGCTAGTTGGGGTTTAGTCCACTTCTATATCCTTCCCTTCAAGGCTCAGGGGTCCAGGATTATCTTCTGTGTCTGTGTTAATTGGTTTCCCTTTTCCTTGTTGGAGCGGGTCTGTGCAGTCTTTCTGCCTAGTCCTCCATCTTGCCAGAACCGCCACTGGATTATTTTAAGGTAAATCCTAGGTAGTTTGAATTAGAATCCAGTCAAGTTTTTCACTTTACCTTTGGTTGAGGAGTACTTGCTTGGTTGATCTATTTTTTTTCCCCTTGCCATTTTTATGTTAAAGAAACTGAGTCCCAAGTCGTATCCAGCATAATAACTCACATTCTAATAGTATTTTCATAGTTCTTAACATATTTCTCTGTTTTTTATTTCCTGAAAACTGATAGATTTACTTTTGATCAGATTAAGGTTTGGCAGTGGTCGCCATTGTGATTTGGCGAGAATAGTTCATATGGTACTGTGTATTTCCTATGCCATCATGTTAGAAGGTAGATGTCTGGTTGTTTCTTTAATGTGTTAGGTGATCTCAATACAATTTCTTCATTACAAAGTTCCCCATCAAGCTTTCATCTCATGTGGCAATTGATAATCAAAATGCCTAGATCCATTATTTAATTAAGAGCACCAAAGTGGTAATGTTATCATTTTTGTCTTTTTGCATTTGTGAGATAGAATTTTAAAAAGAAAAATTTTCCCTCATTAGCTATTAGGTTACACTAAAATATAGCTTATACAGAAATACAGGAATTCTTTCTGTTTATGTATTTGTTTTCAGAAGAGTTGATACCCTAACAAATTTCACAGTTGACCATTAAGAAGGGTGTACGTGTTAAAATCCTATTTTAACATATTTGCTTGTTGTGTTTCAGTCCATTATAGTCATTACTCTTTTTGATGCTCAGATTGGTCCCCCCCCCCTTTTTTTTTCTTTGCTGGTTGGGAGTCCCTTCAATATGTATTCCATGTTCTTTTGACACGATCTCCCAGTATCTTTGATAGCTTCATTGCATTTTTGGTGTGACAAGATTTTATTCTCTTTTTTTTATGTCTCATTTCTGAGACCCAGAGTCATCCATTTCTCAGAGATGGGGCTTATATTTGAAACTCCTGTTTTCTGTGTGGTCTGTTGGTACATGTATGAAGAGCATGTATCTGTCTCCCCTATTGGCATTACTATAGAAGTCTCTTACTTCTCATTTCCACCTGCTGAAAGATGACTGCTGTTGCTTTGAGGTGCTTTTCATCCTTCCAGAGTGCATTTTCTGCATGTCACATAGCCTATTTTTTTTAATAGATTATCCCAAACATACCTGTGTATCTTACAAAAATCTATACAACAGTTTTCACATGAGGTAGTAACAGAAAAGCAAGCAGAAGCTTAATTTCAATTCTATAAATAGAACAAAAAATGCTTTTAACTTAGAAAGAACAGTAGTGTAAGAAGGAGAGAGCTAACAGTAGAGTTTGATTTGACATAACAAGTTTGACATGTATAATATATTCAGTTAGAGCTTAGTTGGTAGAAAACTAGTCTTCAGGTTTGGAGATTAGGTAAAACTGTTCTTTTGGTCCTGTGTATGAGATGTATAATATATTCATTTAGAGCTTAGTTGGTAGAAAACTAGTCTTCAGGTTTGGAGATTAGGTAAAACTGTTCTTTTGGTCCTGTGGTATTTTATCAACGTAAAACTTAAACATTGAGAGAATAAGTGATTTGCTCAAAGTCAAGAAGAAAGTAACAAAGCCAGGAATTACATGAAGGATATTTAGTAGCTTCAAAGACAAATAGGAAATTCAGAACATTATTCACACTATTTTTCCTTATCCCTTTGTGATGAGCCTGTTGAAATTAGCTAAATGCCTTTTTTGCCTTAGAGCCCCAGAAGTGGACCGAAAGAAAGGATTTATCTAGAGGAAAGCCCAGACAAAAGTGAAGTTATTCAGGATACCGTGAGTATAAAATGCATGTAATGATACTACTTTCTTTACCTATCTTTATACTTAAGTGATAATAGAAATATCTGATAATTTACATATTCTTAGTTGAATGATTTTAGTGTTCTGATTTTTTGTTAGACTTGCTTAAAGTTTTATAGTTATATTTTAAAAAAAAGTTTTATAGTAAAATATTTAAAGGAATTTTGTGATGTATTAATTGTTACTTAGCAACATAAGGACTACTGAAAAATCATAGACATCTAATCAAATGTACAATCAGAAGTTTCCTCTAAACTGATTTCTGTTGTTCTACCTTTTCTTTTTTAATTATTAAAGCCTTAGAGTACCAAAAAAAAAAAAAGTAGTAAAAAAGATAAAATCAAGTTTCAGAGATGCATGCATATACATTGTATTGCAACATAGGTAAGGAGGGAAGAGCTACAGCTACGTATTATTCACTCTGTTTATAACTTGTAGATCCACTTACATCCCTAGTTTCAGTATAACAGCTGTGCGGATAACTCCAAAATCATCATTTCTAGCCCTACTGTTTTTGCTGAATTCAAGAGCCTACATATTTAACTTCTGTCAGATTTAAACCAAACTTATTCTTTTCCTATTTCTCTCAAAATTCATATTCCTCTTAATGCTGTGTCGTCTTTTTGATTTTGGTACTTGTGATTTTCAAACATTTTTTTTATATATTAAACATTTATACCCCTACACTACCTTTTATCATGTTGAATCCAACTTAGTTAATAAATAGTTGAGCTATTGCATGGTGATGCCATCTGCCAACCTGCAATTTCTTTCTACAGTTTTGCTCTTTGTTACTATAGCAGTATTCGTATGATTCCTTGGAAAATTTTACCTCGTTTTGCCGGTGATTTTCAAGCAGGCTTGATTCTGCCCTCCAGGGGACATTTGGCAGTGTTTGGGAACATTTTTGATTGTCTTGACTGGGGAGCTGCTACTGGCATCTAGTGGATGGCTATAGGCCAGGAATGTTGGTTAATACCTTGCAATGTACAGGATAGTCCCCACAACAAAAATTACTTGGCCCAAATGTCAAGTTGAAAAACATTGCATTATACTCTTATGAAAGTAACTGAAAAATGCAAAAAATAATAGGATTCAGCAATAACTTTCACGTGACATTAATGGAAATCTTTGGTTAGTACTTTTGAAGTGCAAACTTTGCCTTATAATTTCTGCTCTCATTTCCCTTTGTCCTTTTATCCACATTCACTTTTATTATTTATTTATTTGTTACAAATATTTATGTAAGCCAACTTCACTTTTTTTCTGTAACAAGGTATATATGAATTAATAAATGAAGTATTCAGAATCGGATAGCCAAGGCTATAGTGGGTAAAGAGCAAATGTTCTTTCCACTAAGAAGCAGTTAGCACTATTGTGGTGGTCTTCAGTGCTAAAATGATTCATGGTCTTGAAAATTGAGAACTAATACTTTGAAAATAAAGTTGTTGTTGTTGTTAGTTGCCCTCTAGTTGATTCTGACTCATGACAGCACCATGTGTGCAGAGTATAACTGCTCCATGGGGTTTTCAAGGCTGTATCATCAGGTCTGTCTTCCAAGGGGCCTCTGAGTGGGTTCAAATCACCAGTCATTTGGCTAGTCGTCAAGTGCTAAACTGTTAGTTTATGTGACCCAGGGACTCCTTGAAAATAAAGTATGAACCTTAAAAAAAAAAAGTGAACAAAACCCCAAAGCTTTAATAATTAAAAAGGTTGAATCATGTCTTTTTTTTAATGTCAGTTTGGCTTTACTCCTTCTCTGAAGTTTGACCATCAGGTAATTTTTCTTTTCTTTTTTGCTGAATACTACTAGGATACACAATCACTTATTGGGAGTCCTCCAACCCGTATAGCACCTCATATTATTGGAGCAGAGGATGATGATTTTGGTACTGAACATGAACAGGTGATGACATTTTTTCTAAAAAATAATTCTGTGTGATGTCTGATTTGCTGTGAAAATAAACACTTTCTGGAGCTTGAAATGACTTTGTAAGAACTTGAAGTTACTCCCTTGAGTTAATTGCGTATGTCAGCTTTGACCAGTAGGAATGTCTTTGCTTTTGAAGCTGGTAAGAGTTAGGTCATTGACTTATATCTAAGTATTTTGTTTTTTAGTGAGTATTATTATAAATGGTATGTATGTGTGTGTGTATATATACATATACATATATATTTTTTAATTTCAAATTCTAATTGTTCATTCATGGTGTGTATGTGTGTGTGTGTATGTATATATATATATACATACACACACACACACACCACACATGCTCTCATAGCATAGTGCCTAAGGCACTTGACTACTAACCAGAAGGCTGGCAGTTCAAACCCACCAACCACTCCTTGGAAGGAAGTTGGGCAGTCTACTTCCGTAGTGATACCGCCTCGGAAACTCAAGGAGGGGTTGCTATGAGTCGGGTCTGACTTGATGGCAGATAACAACAACAACAAAAACATACATACACACATACATATGGGAATTTGATTAGCTTGGTTATTGACCTTATATCCTGAAGTATTAGTTAAACTCACTTACTATTTCATTGAATTTTTTTTAAGTTCTTTAGGATTTTCTACATATTCAGCTATGTTCCAAACAGTATACTTGTTGTTGTTGTTGTTGTTATTTGCCATCGAGTTGGCCCCGACTCATAGCGACCCCTCTTTGGGTTTCCGAGGCAGTATCACTATGGAAGTAGAAATGCCCAACCTTCCTTCCGAGGAGTGGCTGGTGGGTTTGAACCTCCAGCCTTCTGGTTAGCAGTCAAGTGCCTTAGGCACTATGCTACCAGAGCTCCTAACAGTATACTTATTCTTGCCTAATTGCAGTGGCTAGGCCTTCCAATGTGAGGTTAAATTGGAGTGATGAATCAAGACAGCCTTGTCTTATTCCTGATCTTAGGGAGAAAGCATTCATTCTCTTTACCAGTCTGATATTAGCTGTAGTTTTTTGTAGATGCCCTTTATTAAGCTAAAGAAGTTTCCTTCTGTTCTTTGTTTACTAAGAGTTTTTATCATAAATGAATATTGAATTTAATCATATGCTTTTTCTTGGTCTGTTAATATAGTAAGTTACATTGATTAATATTTGAATGTTGAGGGGTTTAAAAAAAGTTGCCATCAAGTCTGACCCATGGGGACCCCATATGTTAGAGTACATCTGTGCTCCAAAGAGTTTTTAATCATAGATTTTTCAGAAGTAGATTGCCGGACCTTTCTTCTAAGATACCTTTGGGTAGACTTGAACCTCCAGCCTTTCAGCTAGCAGCTGAGCATGATAGTTATTTATACCACCCAGAGACTCCGTTTGAATATAGAACAAGTTTTTTAATTCCTTGAGTGAACCCCAATTGATTGTAATGTTTTATCCATTTTGTATATTGCTGGATTTAATTTGCTATTTTACCATGAATTTTTATGTCTATGTTAATGAGGAATATTGGTCTGTAGTTTTCTTTCTGTGTGATGTCTCTTTTATGTGATGCCACTGCTAGGTTTTAGTATTTGGGTAATTCTGGCCTTATAGAATGAATATTCCCTCCTTTTCTGTTTTCTGGGAAAGATTGATTAAAACTGATGTTATTTGTTGCTTATGTTTATTTGGTAGAATTCTCCAGTAAATCTGGGTCTGGAGTTTTCTTTTTTGGAAGGTTTGTAAGAGTTAGGTCATTGTGCAGTTAATAAACACAAACTGAACCCATTGCCATTAAGTTGATTCCAACTCAGGGTGACCCTGTAGGACAGAATAGAACTGCACTACAGGATTGCCAAGGCTATAAATCTTTACAGAAGCAGCCTGCCTCATCTTTCTCCCGCAGAGTAGCTAGTGGGTTTGAACCGCCGACCTTTTGGTTAGCAACCAAATGCTTTAACCACTGCACCACCGGAGCTCCTTGACAAATCAATGTTGTTGTTGTTGTTATGTGCCGTCGAGTCAGATCTGACTCATAGCAACCCCTCCTTGGGTTTCTGAGGCAGTATTACTACAGAAATAGAATGCCCCATCTTCCCTCCGAGGAGTGGCTGGTGGGTTTGAACCACCAACCTTCTGGTTAGCAGTCAAGTGCCTTAGGCACTATGCTACCAGAGCTCCCTGAGTAATCAATAGTAATTTGTAATTTTTTTCCAATGGGAAAACTAAAGATCCTTATCCAGATTATTTTCTTAGGTTAACTTTCTTTTCTGGTTTATTGTAATGTGAAAAGTTACATGGAAATTGTGATGCTAGCTTACCTAAACTATTACTGTTCTCTGTGCTCATTGTATTTATAGAATATACAAACATTCTAGGAATTCCCTACTGAAAATCATACAATTCTGCTTTCCACCTTCATTTCTGCAATTAGTCCAATAGTAAAAGAAAAGAGCTATTTTATTGTTAGGTAAAAAGCTTTCCATTATATTTTCATAAATGTTGTTAGACTGTTTTCCACATACAGATTCACAGATACCTGAGCTCCTTAAAATCATCTTCGTAATTCCATTCTCTCAAGATGATCTTTTTTCCAACCTATCCCCAAGAGATGATGCATTTTGAGATGAAGAGATTCCATAGTCTCTATTGTTAATAAAATCTAGTGAAAATATTAAAATCTTGAATTTTTGAAAGATCTGACTTAATTTTTTAAATCTGATTTAAAATGTAAAATAATTCAGATGGGGGAAAGTGAAAATGGTTCTGTTAAGTTGAACCTATGGTATAATTTGATTTATGTATTGGAGTTACTGATAAATAACTATTTCTTTTTCTAGATCAATGGACAGTGCAGCTGTTTCCAGAGCATTGAACTGCTAAAATCTCGCCCTGCTCACTTGGCTGTTTTCTTACATCATGTGGTTTCACAGTTTGACCCTGCAACATTGGTAATATATTTTATGATTTAGCCAATTTAGAGATATTATATTGATTCATATACTATTCAGCTTTTCGTATATTCATAATAAATGACAGACTTTTTTCAGTCTTTCAGACATGTAAGTATAGATGTAAAAGATACTTAAAATGTTATTAATTAATTTTTTATTGAAGACTTTATTAAATGGTGATAAGGGTATTGTTATGGTGACCTACCTATTCCAAACATTCCTACTCAGTGAAGATGTAGCAGACTACACTTTTTGTGACTTCTCACTGTAACTTTCCATTTTGTTCTCTATTGCAGCTCTGTTATCTCTATTCAGACCTGTATAAACAGACCAATTCCAAGGAGACTCGTCGAGTCTTCCTTGAGTTTCACCAGTTCTTCTTGGATCGATCTGCAGTAAGTTGTCAAGTTAATATTATAATCTTTGCTTCAGCACATTGAATTATTGGCCTCCTGTTTCTAATCTGCCCTTCCTGGTTTTTGGAATTTATTGTGTTCTCTGACATATGTATTACATCTCAATTATTAATTGATGTTTTTACTCTTTTATTAAAGTCCTTTGATGAATGTAAATATTTAGTTTTGATGAGGTCCCAGTTACCTTAACATCCTTACATCCATTTGTTTTCTGACTCATGTATTTGTTGCTGTATTTGATAGTGTCTCTTTCAAACAAAAAAATTAGGTCATATAGCTTCATCCCTATATTCATTTATTGATTACTCTTGATTTATTTTTTCATCCTTTCTATATCAGTTGTAGGAGCTCTGGTAGTGCTCCTTAGGTAGTGCCTAAGGCATTTGACTGCTAACCAGAGGGCTAGCGGTTCAAACCCACCAGCTACTTCTTGGAAGGAAGGTTGGGCAATCTACTTCTGTAGTGATACCACCTCAGTAACCCAAGGAGAGGTCACGACTCAATGGCACATAACAACAACAACATATCAGTTGTAGGCATGTGAATTCTCACAGTATATGTATATTTGGGTTTATATGCATATACTTAACCAGAGTGAGGGAGTGAGAAAGAGATCATATGATATACATACATTATATATTAGGATGTAAGGAATAATGCTTGCATAATTGAACTGTGACTGGTGTTTTTGAAGTTTGGAGGTACAAATTTAACTAAAAAGTGATGGAAAAGATGTCACTCATGGTGAAATAAACAATAACATTATTTTATTTTACCAGTGGAAATCTTAATAAGGTTTTTAAACTCTAGAAGTTTTATTATTAGCCTTGTTGTAGGGTAAATAGCAAAACAAACCCGCTGCCACTAAGTTGATTCCACCTCATAGTGACCTTATAGTGTAAAGTAGGACTGCCTCATCTTTCTCCCATGAAGCTTTGGGTAGATTCAAACCACCATCCTTTTGGTTAATAGCCCAGTGCTTTAACCTCAGTGCCAGCAGAGCTTCTTGTTAGCCCTTGGTGCTTCCTGGGTAATCATGATGCACTTCCCTAGTCCTTCCAGTTTTGCAGTTCTCTTAGATAACTATTTCATACCTTCAGTCTCTTGAAACCTCCATCACTTCCTCTCCATCCTTTTCTCGGCTGATGACCTTGTTATTTATTTATTTATTTATTTGAGAAATTTAAAACATATAGAAGAGAACTTCTATGGCATTCATCTCCTGTCTCCATCATACTCTGCCTTAGTTATTGATTGATTGTCTACAGTCTTCTTTAATATCAACTCTTCCCCTTGTGCACTAGATTTTTTTTTTATTTCCTCATACTTACTCAAAGACCTTGTTGTGACAGTTATTTCTTCTTTCTGTTTTTTATTTTCTATTGAATCTTTCCCATTAGCATACAAACATTATTATTTCTCCTTTCTTCAAACAAACACACAAATCCATTTTGGTTCCATTTCTCTCTCCTGGTCCTGTCCCATTTTCTTCACATTCCTTTACAAAGTAGCCTGCTAAATATAATTACCTTCTCAGTCGGGCCCTTTGTGACCATCCTCCTTCAAATTTCACCCCTTCGCTTTCTGTCACCTTTCCTGCTTTATTTCTGTCCATATTGTTGTTGTTGTTATGTGCCGTTGAGTCAGACCCGACTCATAGCGACCCCTCCGTGGGTTTCCGAGGTGGTATCACTATGGAGGTAGAATACCCAACCTTCCTTCCAAGGAGTGTTTGGTGGATTTGAACCGCCAGCCTTCTGGTTAGCAGTCAAGTGCCTTAGGCATTATGCTACTAGAACTCCTATTTCTGTTCATAGAACTTATGTATTATTTATTTATTCATTTATTTTTATTTATCTATATTCCTGCTCTTCTACCTTGAGTATAAATTCCATCAGGGCAGATATATTTGTCTGTTTGTTCACTACTGCATCTCCAACATTGAACACATCTTAACACATAGTGAGCACTATTTGAATCTCACATTTCTTAACAGAACTCCAAGCTAAGTTAAAACTTTACATTTTACTAGTTATGGTCTAAGTCTATCATTAAAGTGTAACCAGAATTCTGATTAATTCTCTAATTCTTTTAGTACTACAGGTGATATTTCTTTCCTATAAATACCCATATACACAAATGGACATTTGTATATTTTTTGCACTTGTGCTAGAAGTATTTTTAAGAAAGTGGATTTGTGCTACCACATGGTGTCATCAACTAAAGAGAAAGCTTTATTTAAAACCCATTTCATTTTTATTTAAATGAATAAGAGATCTCTAATTCTTGGCAGTGATTTATTTTAAAACTTAAAACCTCAGACCTTAAAGGAATTGTTTAATTTCTGGAAGTAGTACACATACTATATAAAATAAGTGTAAAGAGGTTAAGATATTTCCTCTAAATGCAAATTAATACATTTTTTCCAGACATTCCCCAAATTGATGAGGGAAAAACACAGCAGCCTGGTAAAGGGATCAAAAACTACAGTTATTATCATGAAAATCCTAGCTAAGAAGAGGTAAATTATAATAACCTTAGTTAGTTCAACAGTAAGTTACTAGAGATATAAGACTCCAAAAACTCAACATTGTCATCTAATATCTTCTCATTGGCAATATGACTATTATGATGATTCTTTAACTTAATGTAGAAAAATTATTGTATTCTATAGTGTATCTCAAACACATAAAATAAAAATCATGATTATGTATGAGAAAATTTTTCTTACAATAATATACACAATATTTAAGTTTTACCTATATTGATTTGAATGATGTATAACTGATTATGGGAGCTCTGGTAGCATAGTACCTAAGGCACTTGACTGCTAACCAGAAGGCTGGCAGTTCAAACCCACAAGCCACTCCTTGGAAGGGAGGTTGGGCAGTCTACTTCCATAGTGATACTGCCTCGGAAACCCGAGGAGGGGTCGCTATGAGTCGGGTCCGACTCGATGGCACATAGCAACAACAACGTAACTGATTATATGACCAATGATTCCCGAAAGCGAAAGCCATTGTCTTCATTAAGAATAAATATGGCACGGACACATTCAGTAACCTAGTGAAATCACTGTAGATATTTTCTTTGCAGCATGATCCTTGGGAAAAGGGTTTATTTTCAAGTTTAAACAATAGAATGCTTCACAGCTATGAAATTTGGATGAATGAAATGCAGTAAATGTGTGGATATGCTTTTAAGAACAGGTTTCCTTAATTGTATCCCTTTAGTTTATATAAGCACTTACATACTGCTTGAAAAGCCCTTCATGCTATTTCATGTTTTGTTTGCATTTTTGTTTTAGCACCTGAAAGTTTCTGTTCCTGATGAAATATCTACAGATCTAGGTAAGTTGGGAGCACCAATATCCTGGAGTATTACTTTTCTGTAGATAAGTAGCTTATCTCTAAAGAAGGTTTTATGTGTCATGTAGTGACTAGTTGGTTACCTGAAACAGAAAGAGAGTTTATGATACATTTAAAGGCAATTGAAATCTGAATTCTGAATCCAAATATGTAAAAAGTATTGAAGAACTTCTCTTTGGGTTATTCTAAGTTAAATTTGCACCAAGTAGCTTTGATATGTTGCTAGCTGTAATGCACAAAGCATACCTTTAGATGAAATACTTCTTTCCTTTTCATAATGCAGAGAAAAGAAGACCTGAGCTTATTCCTGAGGATCTACATCGCCATTATATCCAAACTATGCAAGAAAGAGTCCACCCAGAAGTTCAGAGGCACTTGGAAGATTTTCGGTAATCTTAGTAATCTTGAGCTGATAGGGTCCTTCTGAATTAATTTTTTTTTCCTCATAGGAAAAGGTTACACATTTAATCCTTATCTTAAAACAAAAAGACTCAGTTGCTGTCAAGTTGATTGCAACCTCATGTGTAGAGTAGAACTACACCATAGAGTTTCCAAGGCTGTGACCTTTTGGAAGCAGGCCTTTCTTCTGAGATACCTCTGAACCATCAACCTTACAGTTAGTAATTAAGTGCTTGACTGTTTGCCTCACCTAGGGACTCCCTCCTTATCTTAGCACACTAGATAGAACATATGGTCTTTCTTACTATATTAAAACATAATGAACATCTGGAGTCAAAGGATTAGAGTGGAACTGAGAGTCTGTGGTCTATTCCAGGTGCTTTCAGAATTTGAGCTCAGTACTATGCCTGTGCTAAGTATGCTCCTTTAGGATATGTGTTCTATTGAATGAGTGTCTCTAGAATTTTTTTCCTCTGGTATGGGTGATAATGGGCACAAATGTGTCATTTGGCCTGTTGCTGGAAACTCATGACTATGGGGTTTCTGATAAGACATCATCAGAGGAAAATGTTTTTTCTCTTAAGTTATATCAGGAAATTTCTCCTATTCTCTTTAGGCAAAAACGTAGTATGGGACTGACTTTGGCTGAAAGTGAGTTGACTAAACTTGATGCAGAGCGAGACAAGGACCGGGTAACTTTGGAGAAGGAACGGGCATGTGCAGAACATATTGTTGCCAAAATTGAAGAAGTGTTGTAAGTAATAGAAGTATATGTGGAAATGCCCTCTTTACTGAGATGCTGGGAGCTCTGGTAGTATAGTGCCTAAGGCACTTGACTGCTAACCAGAAGGCTGGTGGTTCAAACCCTCCAGCCACTCCTTGGAAGGAAGATGGGGCAATCTACTTCCATAGTGATACTGCCTCGGAAACCCAAGGAGGGGTCACTATGAGTCGGGTCCAACTCAATGGAACATAACAACAACAACAACAACACTGAAATGCTAATTATGCTTGAAGTACGCATTGAACAAATTTAGAAGGAATGTCAGATTGTATGTGGAGCTGTTTATTTTGTCACAGTGCTTGAGAAACTGGAAATTTTTTCCTATTTTATTTTTGATGAAGTTCTTGTGTTTCTTTTTTATGGGTGTTGATTCATTGAGTAAGTCTAAAATTTCTAATCATTGATCAAAAATAAGTTGTATATTTTCATGGCTTTGGAAATATTTTTTGGTATATAACATATACACTTGATCTGAGTATGACAAGCATGTTAGTCCCTTTGTGGATTAGAGTTCTTTCGGTGTTTTATTCTATGTGACAGATTTAGGGTAGGGCACGAGGCATTCAGCTCTGTTCTGTTGTTTCAGATATCTGGGTTTAATAACAACTCTTTTATTAAACTCTCATATTTCATGTTTAAACGTTTTTGCTTTTAGGATGACTGCTCAGGCTGTAGAAGAAGACAAGAGGTAATACAACCTTTTATCCTGGGATTTTAAGAAAACAAACAAACTGTATTTTCTCCTGTCAGGCCTATAAGTTATGAATTATTTCTTCTATCTTAAAAATACAGGCTGTGGTCTCCCTCTGGTGGCCTGTTGTCTAATATCCTGGTATCTTGAATGGAATCCTTTTCTGTCTACAGTGAATAGACAGTTCCTTATTTTTTTGTTTCATAAATTAATTCTAGGAAGTCCATTGTTGGAGTTTTGGAGTTAATGTCATTTTATGACTTTATTCTAATCACACTCCCATCTCAGAAGTCTTATTTTACTAACCCCTTCCTTTCCAGTTCAACAATGCAGTATGTCATTCTCATGTACATGAAACATTTGGGAGTAAAAGTGAAAGAGCCTCGAAATTTAGAGCACAAGCGAGGTCGGATTGGATTCCTTCCAAAAATCAAGGTGAGACCAGAATAATAATAGAGGGGTCAGGTCTCTGTACTTCTACTTTTTTAAAAATAATATTTTATTGTGGTTTTGGTGAAAGTTTACAGAGAAAGTTAGGTTCCCATTTGACAAATTCTTTACAAATTGTTTAGTTGACGTTATTACATTTTTCACAGTGAGTCAACATTCTCTTTAATTGCATTCTAGTTGCTCCATTCCCAGTACTCTAGTTTCCCTGTCCCCTTGTCTTCTCGTCTTTGCTTTAGAATAATTGTTGACCTTTTGGTCTCATATAGATGATTTTGCAATGGAGCACTGCACTCATGGGTAATATCCTTTATTTTGTGTGCCAGTCTGTTTCACTAAAAGGTGACTTCAGCATAGTTTCATTTGAGGGTTTAAAGAGTATCTTGGGGTGATAGTCTCAGGGAGTCCTCTAGTCTCAACTAGTCCACTAAGTCTGGACTTTTTAAGAGCTTGAATTCTCTTCTACATTTTCCTCCTGTTCTAGCAGGGTCCATCTATTATGGCCTTGATAAAAACAGTTGATAGTTGTACCTGAGCACCATCTAGTTCTTTTGGTCTCAGGGTAGATGAGGCTATGGTTCATGTAGGCTATTAGCCCTGGAGACTAGTTTTCTTTTTTGAGACTTTGCTTTCCTTCTTTCTGTTTTGTTCCTGACAAGTAGAGACCAATAGTTATATTTTAGATGGTTGCTTGCAAGCTTTTAAGATCCCAGATGCTGCTCACCTCACTAGGATGCAGAACATGAAGTTTGTGAACTATATATTGACTGAATTGTCCCAGGAGACTAAGGGTCTCTGTGCTTCTTTACATTTGGTTATAGTGGTTTCCTTTTCTTAATTGTTAGTGCTAGGTGTACTAAAAGGAGCTCTGGTAGCGTAGTGCCTAAGGCACTTGACTGCTAACCAGAAGGCTGGCAGTTCAAACCCACCAGCCACTCCTTGGAAGGAAGATAGGGCAATCTACTTCTGTAGTGATACTGCCTAAGAAACCCAAGGAGGGGTCGCTGTGAGTTGGGTCTGACTCGACGGCAAATAACAACAACAACAACAAGGTGTATTAATGGGAGCTCTGGTGGTGTAGTGCCTAAGGTATTTGACTGCTAACCAGAAGGCTGGCAGCTCAAACCCACCAGCCAGTCCTCGGAAGGAAGGTTGGACAATCTACTTCTGTAGTGATACCACCTCAGAAACCCAAAGGGAGGGGTCGCTATGAGTCAGATCAGCTTCATGGCAGTGAGTTTTGTTTTGTCTTGTTTTAGGTATACTGATAATTAAAAGATATGGTCCTTATTCTCAAAAAACTGAAAATCTAGTGAGAAATTCTGAGTAAGAGCAAATTATTAGAGAACATGAAAAGTGTGAATAGTGGTTTACACAGAGTGCCATCTCCCAGCTCCTTAGTGCCTTATGCTCTTTTTTTTATGGTATCGTTATATTTCATAATTATTTTTGTGTTTGTTTAATGTTTATTAGATTGTGACTCTATGAGGGAGAGGACCTAGTCTGTTTCTTCATCATTGTAACACCAGCTTTTTGCATTGCGCCTTCACACATTATAAGCTTAGTAAATGAATGTGAGTGAGTGAATTGCATAGAACAAGTTCCTGATAAATATGCTGTCAAACTACCTTTTTATTTTCCAGTCAGCTCTGAAGGACTTCAGAAGACACCTTCAGTTTGATATGTACATAACACTGTGTGCCCACTGCTAATGAGTGCTATCTTTGTGTCCTTTATTTACATTTAACAAGTTTCTTTCAGTTGACCATCAGAATTGCATTCTGTGTTTGAAAGCAGTAAAATTAATCTATTTGTACACATTTCTTACGTTTCTAATTGTCTGTCCACTCTAGCAGAGTATGAAAAAAGATAGGGAAGGCGAAGAGAAAGGGAAGCGAAGAGGATTCACCAGCATCCTGGGACCTCCAAGGAGACCAAGCCGCCATGACAACAGTGCAAGTATGTTGAAGTTTGAAATGTTACATTCCCACCATTCCATGCAGTCTTAATTTAAGAGACTCATTTAGCTAGAATGAATTGCTGGAGAAGACTACACTTCTGGTAAACTAATTAATTAGTAAACTAATTCCTCTTAACTTCCAATGTACCTTGTTTTTTCAGTGTTATTTCTGAACTTAGTACTCCTGTGTATCTACGTAATTGTCATAAACATCTTCTTTAATGCAATATAGTATTATATCAGTTGCCTATAATGTACTTACCTGTTCTGATTTTGTTTGCATTCAATTCATGATTGTTAATAAATTAAGAAAACAAAGTGTGCGTACACCTCTCCAACATATTATGCTTCATCTCTTTATACATATATTACTGACTCTCTCCACACTTCTTATGTGATCCATCCACCTCTCTGTTGTGCTTTATTTCGTGATCTAGGGGGAGAATAATGAGGCCCTGTTGTGGTTCTCAACCTTGGCAGTAATGTATTTTTAAACATTACCTTAGTTTGGATGGGGGTTGTGAGCAGTGATACTGAACATCCCATATAATGAGGAATTATCACTCAAATGCCAGTCGTTCCTTTTGTTGAGAAACACTGAGAAGATGACAGAGATTTTCAGAAAGAAGGTTAAGATGGAGGATTTCACAGATATTTACCATGAGTTCAAGGGGGTACAGAAGAAGAATTTTAAGAATTAGGGAAGATGGGGTTAGATTAGGAATGTACAAAGCTATGTACGAATGTGCAGTGCTATGGGGGATGATGACCTGAGAGATTTTAGCCATTTATGGTGACTGATACGAATAGGGATAAAGAAAAGAGTGGGGATTAGTCTGGATGATCTCTAATGCATATTGTGGTAAGGAAGTTGTGGGCATTGGAGGAAAAGTGGGGTGAGAGGCCTGCTAAGAGTTCACAGAGTTTAAGGCTTTGCCTTCACTCTTTTACCAATGAGTACAGCTCCTTAGGTATCTCTCAGCATTCTCTCTGCTCTCCTCACTGTTGATCTCCTCATCCACTTTGCTTATAACCCTTCTTCTTCATCTCCCCCTCTCCTTTTCTCTTCATCCCTCCTCTATCTCTTCCCTCTCTCCTTCACCCTCTCCATCTCTTCTCTTCTTTCTCTTTCTCCGTCTTTCCCTCCATCTGTCTGTCTATCTCTAACTGTATAATAATTCATCTTATATTGTTCTAGGGCCCACCATGTTCCAGACATTTTTCAGATCCTTTTACATTATTAAATGTATTTTTTTAAAAACTGTTTTGCAGCACAGATCATTGACCATTGTTTTTCTGTTCAGTTGGCAGAGCCATGGAACTACAGAAGCAACGCCACCCTAAACACTTATCCACACTCTCATCTGTGAGTCCTGAACCTCAGGAATCTGCTAAGTTACGCCAGAGTGGATTAGCAAATGAAGGAACAGATATTGGATATCCTCCTGCCAATCCTGTGTCCTCTATGGCTGTAGGGTCCACTCTTTTCCAGGAAGGAGGGAAAGAGAACGATATAGGTGAGCTAATGCTATCATTCAACTTAACTAAGTACCATGATTTTAAAACAAATCATGGTGTTTTAGTCAACACTGAATCCTAATGTAATTTAGTTTTAACATCTTACTATTCTATAACCAGTGACAAATATGTGAAACCAGAAAACCAAACTCATTGTTGCTGAGTTGGTTTTGACTCATGGCAAACTCATGTTGCGGAGTAGGACTGCTCCATAGGTTTTTGTTGACTGAAATCTGTATGGAAGCAGATCACCAGGCCTTTCTTTCACAGTACCACTGGGTGGGTTCAAACTGCCAACCTTTAGTTAGTAATTGAGTGTAAACCACTTGTGCCACCTAAAGACCTATAGATACATACATGCTGAGTGATAATTTCTAATTCTTATTCATTCAAAAAGTATTTATTGAACTCTCTAGAGGTCAGGTGTCAGGCATTAGCTTTGTATTAGATGTTAGCATACAATAATGATACATAGTTTTTTACCCTATACAGCTTAGTCTCATGGGGGAGACAGTCCCACAGATAAATTTCAAATTGTGTTAACTCCAGTAAAAGAAAGGGAATGAGAGGGTTGAGGGGACAGGTTAGTAGATAGAGGCAATGTGGAGGGTCTTAAGGAAGACTTTTTAAAAGTCTAATGTGCTAGACTTTTTTTTTTTTTTTTTTAGATGTTAAGGGGAAGCCAGTTGAGAAGAAGAGGTTGAAAATGTGGGAGACAGAGGGTATCACCAATAGCAAAAAGTTTTGAGAAGGAGATGGAATGCAGAAGTTATGTGAAAGACAAGCTTATTAGCTGAGAGTGAGGATTTAAGAAGGGAGCTCTGCTAGCATAGTGCCTAAAGCACTTGAGTGCTAACCAGAAGGCTGGTGGTTCCAACCCACCAGCCACTCCTCAGAAGGAAGGTTGGGCAATCTACTTCCATAGTGATACTGCCTCGGAAACCCAAGGAGGGGT